TCTGGTGTTGGAGGGTGTTCACGGGACATTGTTAGCAACTGTTAGTTCTAAAGCATACTACATGCATGAGTATACAAAATCCACAAACAAACACAACAAACACACACCAAAGGTAGGCACATGGGGGGGGTTAGCATATATTTAGCATATATATATATATATATATGTGTGTGTGTGTGTGTGTGTGTGTCTGTGTGTCTATATATATATTTATTTATTTATTTATTTATTTATTTATTTGTTTATCTGTTTATTTATTTATTCATGTATACGCGTATATAACCATATTCTACATATAAGTATACGTATACGAACATATGCCTACATATAAAGAGTTTTAGGGTGGAGGTTCGGGCAGTGCACCCAAAGCCTCGGCCGGCTGCCAATCCCAAGCCCACCACGTTTCTACGCCCCAACGCTCCGAAGCCCAGAAACTCCCAGAAAGCCCAAATACTCGTTTAGGGCTTAGGGTTTAGGGTTTAGGGCTTAGGGTTTAGGGTTTAGGGTTTGGGTTTGGGTTTAGGGTTTAGGGTTTGGGGTTTCAGCAACATACCCTGAATCGTCTTTGGGATCCCCTGTAAAGCTTTGCTTCTGTGCTCACATGTTAAGGAGCCTAGGGTGCCCAAGAAAGCCCCCGCAAGGTTGGGGCTTCAGGACCTACGCTAATATGAACCTTATCAAGAAACCCTGGGTCGTGATCCGGGTCCTTTATATGAACCCTAACCGTTTTGGGATTCTACGGCCAGGGTTTCTCCCCAAAGCCCTCAACCCGAAACCTAAAAGTCTTATCGAGAAAGCCGCATCCAAAAACCCTCAATACAAGAAGTGCGGAACCCCAACACCCCCTGCAAAACCCTACAGAACCCCCAATGTTAAAACCCCAAAAACCCAATGTTAAAACCCCAAAAACCCAATGTTAAAACCCCCAAAAAGAGAAGAAAAAGCCCAAAAACCCTGCCGAAGGCCTAAAACCCCCAAAAAGAGAGAAAAACCCAAAATCCCTGCCGAAGGTAAAACCCCCAAAAGAGACAAAAAGCCCAAAAAGCCCTGCCGAAGGCCTAAAACCCCTAAAAGAGAACGAAAATGCCCAAAAAAACCCTGCCGAACGGAAGGCCTCTCAAGAGATGGACGCCCAAGGCCCTCCGAGGCCGATCCTGCGCAGAAGCAGAGGGGGTTTAGGGTTTAGGGTTTGGTGGCTTTTTGGGTTTGTAGGGTTTGGGGGCTTTTTAGGGTTTAGGGTTTAGGGTTGAGGGTTCAGGGTTTAGGGTTTAGGGTTTGGGGGCTTTTTGGGTTTTTTGGGTTTGAGGTTAAGGGTTTGAGTTTGAGGATTAGGGTTTAGGGTTT